TGCATTGCTACGATTCGAGCTGTCTTGATTGTCTCTTTTGCGCTTATGAAAATCCCTGCTGTTTTTTTTTTTTTTCTCCATGTGAAAGCCTAATTACAGCAGCTAATCATGCTTGAGACTTACTATTATATCAGCATGCCATGCAGAGGTGAGACTGATCCAGCACTGGAAATAACAGAAGGTGTGTGGGCTTGATGCTGCAGACACAGGTCTGAGAAGATGGCCTGCAAGAAAAAAAAAATAAAAAAGAACAGTGACATCACTCCAAAAAAAAGAAGAAAAAAACAAGAAAAAAAAAGTTCACAGCCAAGAGCGAGCTTATTACTCTCAATGAGAATTCTTACCTGAAGACTGAAGAGGCAACTTCCTTAAAAAACAGCAGCACAGCTCCCAGTTTGCCTGACAGGGAGAGGATGTTGAATTATGGCCATCACCCGGCGCAGCGTCTCATATGCAGGCTGAGCAAACTGGGGCTGCATGGTGCCTGTCACTGGGCTGCATGGAGGAACAACACTTACTATATAAGCTCAAGGCGTTGACTGAAAGTTCAGAGAAACCAACGTTACGGGCGCAAATATGTGTGAAAAGCCTTAACATATATGTAACCATTTTTACAGTGGATTAATCTCACTGTGATTTTTTTTTTCTTTTCTTTGAGGGGCGACGGGGAGATACATTCTTTAATTAAAAAATAAAATGTTGCCTATGTGGCAAGGGGAAGCCCAGAAGATTTATTTTCACAAGTGGAGTGTTACAGCTTTGCTATAACACTCCATTTCATACATTTTGAAAATATTCACTTTTTTTTTTGTTTTTAGAAATTACTTCGAGCTCATTTCAAATGCTATGGACACGCAGAGGAAAAATAGGTAGATTTGAAAAATAAAGAAAAGGAGGAGGGAAAAAAATTAAAAGAGAAAGAGAGAAATAAGAAGGGAGAAGAAGAAGAAGTATGCCTTTACACCCACAGAAAGAGAACAAAAAAAACAGAACTGAGAAACCAGAGTAACAGACAACATATGTGATTATATAAGTATAACAACGTCACTGAAAACCACTTAGTACTAGTTAGTACAAGATGTATTTAGTGGCAACGGCAGCCAAAAGATAGTGTTTCTGTAAACCCCTGGATCCAGGCATCTATGTGTAAATTAAAAAAAAAAAAAAAAAAAAGCAAAACACAAAATCATTATTTGTGACAATCACGGCACCATCCTACCTCGTGTCCCCCCCTCCCGACCCTGCAGATACACTTTGGACAGTTCAATTGTCCAATAGAACAGAACTTACTCTTCTTCTGGAACATTTTACGAAATTGAAGCATACAGAGAAAGGGGTTTTTGACTACTCCCCTTTGAACATTCTTTCTAGATCTTTGGCTCTCAAATGTTGGATTAGACACACAATCTTAATTTTCCGAAAACATTTTTTATAACATATTGGCAGACACAAGTACATATTTTTGACTTTTTTTTTATCTGGTTAAGTGATGTCACATACACAAGACAATTACAAGAAAAAGGAAACATTCTTTGAAGGTCAGAAATGAACCAACCGGATCTCTGTAACTGTGGCATAAGCAAGACAAGAGTAATCAAGTTCAGCTTGACTTGTCAACAAATGCCTACTTCTGAACTTGTTTAAAAAGTTTATTAAAGGAACATTTTGGAAGAATTTGAAATTCCTTTAAATTTATTTTGATTTCAAATTTTTAGAAATTAAAAAAAAAACTAATAGATGTAATAAAACAATACAAGGCATTGAAGTTTGATAGGTATCTCACTGATTTTAGAATTTCTGCTCCCTGGATCTCTCAACTGGTAAGAAAAAAAAATCTTTCTATCTAAAGTAAACCAGCAGACTACATTGAGTCATTGACGTTGAATCAATTCATCCTCTTCCTCAGCAAGCATTTAGCAACAGTGGGCTGTCAGTGCCATTGAATTTTTAACTTCGAAGCAATCACTCCTGTAAGGCTTTTAACTTTGAAGCAATCACTCCTGTTAAGCAAGATAAATATGGCCACTGGCTAAAAGAACTTCCACTCTGTGTTGCACTTTTCTACTACAGAGAACGGAAAGATAAGAATTAAGAATGTGGAGTTCCTAGAAAGTCTGATAAGCTTTAAAAAAGTGTATAATTTTCACCACTTTTATTTTAAAAGTCATGTTCGGGGCTGATTGAGCAGCTGATTATTTTATTTGAGGCAGCTACTTCTTCACATGGAAATGTTTCCCTTCTGAATAAAATATAACCAATTAAAGTTTAGCTGTTTTTTATTAGATTGCAGCACTGTAGTAAAGGATAAATTCATTTTAAAGCTTTTCCCACAACAAATTTGCCTGCATAAAAAAAAAAAAAAACTTATTAATAGCATTTACTTTAACCCCCTTAAACCAGGAACGTAAGTTGACATCGATAAATCGCTTGTGATTCATTGAGGTTTTTCTCAGGGTTGAAACAGACAGTTGATATCTGGATGTGTTGCACCCCACCACCAACGCCGCCGCCGCTGCCACCTCTCCTCTGTCCCTCCCTCAAGCTCTCCATCTCCTTGACTTGGTCTCTTTCTCTTGTTAGAAACAATAAGTTATAACTTTGACCTACATCTCACAGAGGATGTGACACTCATGCGTGGTCACCCTATGGATAAACAGCTCTGAGCAGGCCTGCTTTGGAAATGGATACACAGTAGACATACAAACCATGTGGAGAACAGAAAGTGTGTTCTTCTTCTGTCTGCGTGTGTGTGTGTGTGTGCTTGTCCCCTGATCTCTAGCATCAGACAAACACATTTGAAATCCCAGATGAGGGTTAGTGCACTCGAGAGCAGACCAACGGTTCACATCTCTCTCTCTTCCTGCTTTAGTACCTGTAGAAATTATATTTTACTCTCACTTGTAGCCATGAGTCTCATCCCATGTAAATGTAACTAAAGTAAATGGACAAGCAAGCCTTTTTCCCCCTCCTTTTTTTTTTTTTACTGATACGAAGATTCAGGCCTGGAAAGGAGCCAGAGCTTTTCCTACTCTCGCCCCCCTCCAAAAAAACTTTTGTTGTCTGTGTCTTTTTCATTTTCCCCATAGGCTAGTTCTGTGTTGTTTTATGTACGTGTCCCTTGTTGTTTCTTCCATGTGGTTTCTTTGTCTTTCAGCCTCTTATCTCTTTGTTTCTTCCCTTGCTCTCCTTCTATTTTCTCTCCCTCGACTTCCTGCTATCTCTCCGCCTCGCTCACACCCTCACTCAATCTCTTTCTCTTTCCTCTCCCCTCCCCTCCTTCCCTCTCATTCCCTATCTCCCCCTCCGCCCTCCTCCTTCCCCCTCCGCACCCCTTTCTCTCTATCTTTTCTCATTCTCGCAGCACTCCCAGCTGCTGATGATTGATCAAGGTTTTCAAGGTTTGCCCTTTCCTGTTATTTAGCAGGAAATGTTTATGCACAGTTCTCAGTCTTGCAGTCACAATTGGCATGTGTCCACACTGTGTTTGTTGTGCCTGCCCGCACCTACTCCTGCTTGTCTCACGTCCACTTTTTTTAATTTATTTCATTTTTTTTTTGTTTGTTTGTTTTAGAGTGTTCACAAGTACAGTAAAGGTGAGGTAATATAAAAGAATACCAGTCTAAATTATGAGGTTTGTCATTAGAGGCGACCTCATCAGTTCTCATCCGGCAGGTAGAACACTCTGCCACACCGTTCTCAAAGAAATCTGGAAGTTCAATAGTTAATGCCTTCTCTTTGCTGTTTTTTCCTTTTTCCTCACTCCCTCTGTCTCTCTCTATCTCCTTTTCCTCTCTCCATTCCCTTTGCTCCCACCCCACCACCTTCACTCCTCCTTCACTTCTTTTCTTTTCTCTTGCTGATGGACTCCTCTTTTTTTTTATTTTCACACTCCACCATCCCCCTATTTTCTTTTTTGCTCCTGTTTTCCTCCACACACCCTGCTCCTCTCTTTTCACCGCATTTTCTTTCAACTCACTATCTGTCTTTCCATCCCCACCTCTTCCCCCAACCCACGCCCCCCCTTTCTTTCTTCCCTGTCTTTTATTCTTTCGCCACATCCTTTCTTATACCCCAGCCTCCCCCTTCCTCCTCCTCCTACAGTTCTTCTTTACCTTCTTCCTCCTTTTTTTGCAGCATTCTCTTTTTCCCTCCCCCACGCCAGTTCTCTTTCCTCTCTCCCTTTTTCTTTCTGCCCCCCCTTGCTTCCTCCACTCAGATTCACTCCCCCTCCTTCTGCTTCTTTCTTCCTTATTCTTTCTCCCCCATGTCTGTCTCCCTCCCTCTTTCCTAACTGCTTTTTGCTCTCCTCTCTTTCTCCTACTCTTCTTTTGTCACTCTTTTTCCTCCCTCCTTCTGAATTTCTCAGACAGAATAGTTTATACTTAATTAGTTTGGATGAAAAACTCTTCGCTTTCTGTGAAAAAGTTAAAAAATGTAAGCTTTTCTCAGACATTATCTGTCTGTCTGTTTTGTCACTGACAGACGCACCCCCCCCCATATATATATATATATATATATATATATATATATATATATATATATATATATATATATATGTATATATATATTTATATTTGTGTATGTCTTAGTGTGCGCTACTGTTAAAAAGAGGTAAATGCAAAGTATCAAGTGTGATCAAGACAAGATAGTAGTAGCTGAAGAGAAATGTGTGTTGAAGGGTCATGTTGAATTGTACGTAGTGAGAAAGGGAGATAAGATGTGTGTGTGTGTGTGTGTGTGTGTGTGTGTGCGTGTGTGCGTGTGTGTGTGTGTGTGTGTGTTTATGAGAGAAAAGAAGAGAAAAGTGAGATGGGAAGGAGAGGGTGGGAGGAAGAGAAAGAAATGGGGTGATGCTGTGCATGTGTGTGTGTGTGTGTGTGTGTGTGTGCGTGTGTGTGGGGGTGAGGGCTGTTGAAGGGTGGTGGGGTGCGAGGGGGGGCAGGCACAGTCAGTTCTGATAACAGCAACAGTAGGAGGAGGATGAGCCGTGGGACCGCCCCACTCTCCCGCAGATATAAATAGGAGGTGGATTTTTTTACTCTACTCATTTCTCCTGAAGGATGAGATCCCTGAAACACCTCAAACATCACTCCAGGAGCAATGTGGTGAGTCTGGGACCCGAATACACTGGGGCAGATGTAAGGGTTGTGTTAGAGAAGGGGGTTGGGGGTTGTTGGGGACTTGTTTTTAGCACTTTGTCAATGAGGTGTTTACCATAGTCCTGTCCGCGCTCTTACCCAGGAGTTATAGGAAGGAAGAGGGAATGTACTTTTCACGTGTGGCGCAAGTGCTGCGGCGTATGGACGTGTTTTCTGAAAGAGCCGCTTTCTGTTTCCATTCCAATTGTTTGTCTTTAGGTGTCTTTCAGTCTTGCAACTTTAAATGTGAAAGTGCGCCACTCTCGCAATAATTACCCTACCTTCCCTGTCTACTTGTCATTTGTCTTCCTCTCTTTCATTTTGTCAGCCTTTCATTTTGCTGTGCTTTTTCTTCTCTCTACAGCCCTCCCTCCCTTCCTCCTTCACCTCTTTCTCTCTTACTCACTCTGTCTTTCTGTCTCTCTTCGGCTGCCCCCCTCAGCACCACCACCCCTCAATACACTCACACCCCCCTTCTCCTTTTCCTTTCTCTCTTCACTCCTCTCACACGCTCACTCAATCTCTCATTCCCCTTCCCTCCCTCCCCTCCCCTCTTTTCTTTATCTTTCAGCCCCTCCATCTCATTTCTCTCTCCGTCTCCCTCCCTCCACTCCTCCCCCGCCCACAGCTCTTTCTCCTTCTCTTCATACCTCCCTCCCTCTTTTCTCTTTCTCTCTCACTCACACACGCTTTCAAATACACACCCAGTCTCTTTCCTTTTCTTTCCTCACAAACACACAGTCTGTCTCTGTCTGACTACTTTAAAAGCAGTAATTATAAATGACATGGTTATCAGGGCATCCAGGTCTACTCCCCTCACCCATGCACACACACGCACACACACACACACACACACACATACACAAACACCTTTATTCCTGTTCTTTATCTCCTCTTTCTTTCTGCCTTTTCTCTGTCTACTCTTTTCTTTTCTCTCAGCATTGTGTCAGGAAAAGGAAGCAGCTTTTTCTTACATGGCACATTGAAAGCTGCAGAGTGCTACCTGGAAATAAACCACAGGGTCAGTACTTCTCAGAGTAATGTTTCAGCCAGTCTGATCCATGCTGATATTTAATTTAAATCATGTCTTCATATACAACAGAGGGCCAGTTCCTTCAAAAATATGAGCATAAGGGTCTGAAACACTTAAAGATTATACAATTGAGTTTTCTGCATTGGTCTGGAATATAGAGCGAGTTCAAAGCCCAGTCGAATGTCTGAGCTTTGAACTTATGAGACCGCCTGTCAGCATATATCATCTTGTTAAAGAGGTTCAAGTTTGAAGGCATTATGAAGTTGGCCACAGTGCTCAGAGAATCAATGAGACGGTTTGCTCCAGTGATGGGCCGACCGTGGTCAAAGCTAGGCCGTCCCAGGACCCCACAGGAAGTGCCGAGGACAGTCCACGGAAGTCGGCTTCCTGACCAGGACCTGCATCCCTTGTTGTGTTCTTTATTATTCTAAAGCCTGTCAAGGAAGGAAGCTGAGCGCGAACACAGATCTACCTTATCTCCTCGATCTAATGTTCTTTGGATTCCGACCGAAGACACAAAGGCGGCGTCTATATGCAGCTTTCATATTGTGAAAAATAAGATCTTAATACCTGCAAGCTGAAATCATTTTAGCATTCGGTTACAGCTTTATGAGCCTGAAATATGAGGGTATATTTTGTTCTAATAAAATATTAAGTAGTACTTTAACAGCTGTTTCATCAGTCTAAGTTCCATTATGCCTCATACCATGTGTGTGTGTGTGTGTGTGTGTGCGTGTGTGTGTGTGTGTGTGTGTGTGTGTGTGTTTGCAGGAGGAAGAAAGTAGCTGTTTGGTGCGAACTTTTCCAAAGATGACTGAAGCCCACATGGATGTGGGCACACAAACAGAGCCTGTGGTGGTGTTATCACTTGCTCAAGCTGCTGTTCTTGGACTCATCTCCCAGAATGAAATATTTGGGGCTACCATTGCCCCAAATGGCTTTTACACAGGGGAGCCAAAAGAGTGTCCTCCTCCTCCTCCTGAGGCAGCGGAGTATGAGTATGCTGACCAGCTGATAGGTGCTAACGGGGACTACCTGCCCGAGCCTGCTGGTGAGCAGGAGCCCCAGCCGCACTGCAGCGAGAGAAGACGCCCTGGTCCCCGTGGGAGAACCAAGAGGCTGAGGAGCAATGGGGAGATAGAACCTCCCCAGCACAAAGACGTTGCTCCACAGGCTCAGGTTAAAGGTGAAAGACTTGATTTTGACGCCTCTCCTTCCTGCATTCACATGAATAACAGACACTCGTCCAGCAAGTTAGAGGATTCAATCACCCATCATGCCTCTTTGAAAGAGGAACAGACCTGTGGAAACTGTTCATCATGTGTGAGAGATACGCCCATCCCACAGACAGACGGACAGACAGAACTGGAGCATGAAGACAGTTCTGTTAGGGAGAAAGAGAGGAAGGAAGAAGAGTTAGTGGTAGCAGAAGAAGAGGAAGAGGCACTGAACCTAAAGACAACTGGAGAGAATAGTAGTCCTCTGGAGAATCGTTATTATGATTCCAATGAGGTGACCTACGAGTCTGCTGACATGCCGATGCAAGGAGAATATGAGGAGAATGGCCAGGCACAGGCCATGCTGTGGTCAGACCCAGAGGGGCTCGCCAGACGAATGCAGATTGACAGACTGGACATAAATGTACAGATTGACGAGTCTTACTGTGTTGATGTAGGAGAGGGTCTGAAACGCTGGAAATGTCGTATGTGTGAGAAGTCCTACACGTCTAAATATAACCTTGTCACTCATATCCTGGGTCATAATGGAATTAAGCCTCACGAGTGTCTGCACTGCGGGAAGCTTTTCAAGCAACCGAGCCACCTTCAAACTCACCTGCTCACTCATCAGGGGACCCGACCCCACAAATGCACAGTGTGTGAAAAAGCATTCACACAGACTAGTCACCTGAAGAGGCACATGCTGCAGCACACAGATGTTAAGCCTTACAGCTGCCGCTTCTGCGGCCGTGGCTTTGCCTACCCCAGTGAGCTGAGAACCCATGAGAACAAACATGAAAACGGTCAGTGCCATGTCTGTACCCAATGTGGGCTTGAATTTCCAACCTATGCCCACCTGAAACGTCACTTAACCAGCCATCAGGGTCCGACTACGTACCAGTGCACAGAATGCAACAAATCTTTCGCATATCGGAGCCAGCTGCAGAACCACTTGATGAAGCATCAGAACGTTCGACCCTATGTTTGTCCAGAATGTGGGATGGAGTTTGTGCAGATCCACCACCTTCGACAGCATGCCCTCACCCACAAGGTACTGGATGTTGTTTTTTTTCTACCAGTTAATTGGCTAGTAACTTTATGTTACTAAATCCTTAGTTGAAACAAGATCACAAACACTAAAACATATTTTAGATAAAAGTGTTTAACTTTTTCCTGTCACTGTTTGATGCATTAACATAGAAGTAAAATTGAGCCAACTGCCATTCTTATATCACAGGCTATTCTCTAAAACCAGTTGCTTTGTAAGGACAGTCTTCAAAGGCTTTGAGTTTTTGTGTGCTCAGCCCCACCCCCAACATGTGTTTTGTTTCATTTGCAAAGCTTCTTCTCTTCCTGTTTGATGATTCACACAGTCTCTCTTGTAGTATATGTTAAAGATATTCTTTATTTTTAACGGTAGAGATCTTTTGTTCATGACGAGCACTGCCAAGAATTTTTAGAACCCTCACATATTTATATAATTTCTTCTGATTTAGACTTGACCACTTTGTGTTTCCTTCCAGGGCATGAAAGAATTCAAGTGTGACGTGTGTGCCAGAGAGTTCACTCTGTCAGCCAACCTGAAGAGACACATGCTGATCCATGCCAGTGTGAGACCCTTCCAGTGCCACATCTGTTTCAAGACCTTTGTCCAGAAGCAAACCCTCAAAACGCACATGATCGTCCACCTTCCCGTCAAACCCTTCAAATGCAAGGTTGGTATACCAAGGGAGTATAAATATCACGTTGAACCAAACTGATGAAAGTTACCGATTCTTCACCCACCCTCCTCCCCCAGGTCTGTGGGAAGTCATTCAACAGAATGTACAATCTGCTTGGCCACATGCACCTCCACGCTGGCAGCAAGCCCTTCAAGTGCCCTTACTGCACCAGCAAGTTCAACCTGAAGGGCAACCTGAGTCGACACATGAAAGTTAAGCACGGCATTATGGACACCACAATAGATGGACATGGTGAGTGGCTTTTGCTCTTGTCCTAATTAGACCTCTTTGGAGCAAATGAAGTTGGTGAATATGTTCATAGGTTTTACCAATGGCACGTCTCCAAGTGGGACTGCTCCGAGGGCTTAACATCAAACAATTGTCACTCAGTCTGTCCCTAATGGACTTTGACTCAGCATGTACAGTAACATAGTGGCCGAGCATTTTGATGTTTCCGTCGCTCTCTCCGCATCTGTTTAGGAAATATAGCAGTGAATGGATTAGACCAGTGTTTCCCAACCCTGGTCCTCAAGGCACACTGACCTGCATGTTTTAGATGTTCCTCTGCTTCAGCACACATGATTTCAATTGATGGCTGATTAACAGGGGTTTGCTGAATTGGAATCATCTGAACGGGGTGTGTTGAAGCAGGGGAACATCTAAAACATGCAGGTCAGTGTGCCTTGAGGACCAGGGTTGGGAAACACTGGATTAGACATGCCGGTCTTCATCAGTAAAGACTGATGCAGAGGACGGGCAATCTGCTGGATGTCCTCAATGTGGCCATGTGTCTTTAGGAAGAGATCTATGCATGTGTGCAACAACGTCTGTTATTGAACGCAGCATTCCCCTTCCTTTGTCAGAACCCCCCCAGGAGACAGAAGGCCAAGAGGAGTATGAAGATGAGAGCTTTGAATTCAGTGAGCGAGAAAACCGCGCCAACAACAACAACACACCCGATGTGGCCAAACTATCTCAAATGGAGTACTACAGCAACTATGGGAAGGGTGCAGGGCGCTTTAGTGCATCAGGGATAGTACCAAGTACCCCAAACTGAACATGTGCGTGAACTCATTTAACTTAGGTTTGTTTATTTTGTTTAATTGCTATTAAAGGCAAAATGGTTAAGTTCCTCCCTAAAGGGATAGCTTGTGTTTTTTTGAGGTTCTTTGAAATTATCAGCAATAGTTTCATTACCTGTAATTCAAATGTTGTGTCACTGAGTTTGTAGAAGAATAAGGAAACTATCAGAGCAATTGAGAACTAATAGCTGGCAACATACTAGCTGATTGAGTATTTCAGACGATTCTTAGCAACTTTAAACCTAAAAATCTGTCCACTGAGGTACAGATGTACATATGTAAAACATCTACACTTTTACAAGAGACTGTTGTTAAAGCCAGTAACTTAAATGTTCCTGTGCACAGGATGCAGGCGGATCAGGTGGATGACACAGAATCAAAGTAACTTAGTGTAGTAGAACACGTGTCACTCAATTGAGAAAACAAAGACAAACTTAACACCCACCCTGAGAAAGTGTAGAACGTTGATATCTCCTAATATAGTGCTGTACCCCCTAGGTTGAAGTTATCCTCAGTTAAAGTTGTATTAAAGTGCTGCAATTACTGGTAGTCAAAAAAAATTAGTCTACAATCCCACTGAGGTTTTCTTTACTTTATGACAAAGTTATTGCAATATAGATGAGACCTATGTGCTACAGGTAGAGAAACCATTGCAGATAACATGAAAAAACCTAACTTTAAAAAAATCCCAACAATCCTTTTGGGAATATGAGGAAGCCCAGCAAACTGCACATTAATATGCACTGGAATCACTCAAAATCTGCAAAATGTGAGAAGAAAAAAAAACAACTGATTATTAAAGGTTATGGGAAAAAGGAGTATAGAAGTATTTAAGTGAAAAATGCTACAAGATCAACAAGATCATAACCTGAGCCCTAAAATAAAGTACATTTTTAGCTAGAGGAAATGCATGTTACATTGCAGTTAGACAATCCGTGTGCTGAGGTTTCACCAGTGTGAGCTGTGAGGGAAGGGAACAGGTGCTCTTTCACCTACCAAAGCTTATCAAAAGGTTAATGATTCTCTTTGATTTATACTGTGATAAAAAAAAATAATAATTAAAAACTGTAAGAAAAAAAAGTCCTGTGCTTTACTGCATTTTATTGTACAGTGCATCAGTTCTGCTGTATGTTGGCTGGTGCATCGCACTAGAGGACCACTGTGTCTACTTTTTACATTAACAACCATCCTCGTGTATTGGTCTCTAGTCTATGAATGTAACTGTTTCTGTGGAATGTTATAAAGCAAATTCAAATGTCCTTTTTTAATGCTTGCACCCCTTTACCAAAGAATTTGAAAAATCTTGCAGCTATGGGTTTTTTTTTTGTTTTTGTTTTTTTTTAACCTAGCTGTTGTGTTGAACTGGGACATTGAATTCCCCAGATTTCATAAAATTACATCCATGTTTATCCTTCTACCCTTCTGTAGATCTCTTCAAAAGATTACCACAGAGATCAGGCTGTAGTGCAGGTTTCAGCAAACCTTACTTTTTCCCTCCCCACCCTAAAATCTAAGTTTCTGAAGGCAACACTGCAAAATTTATTTTAAAAAAAACAAAAAACAATGCAACCTACATCCATACTTTTACTTTTCTCATTTTAAATTGGTGAATCTCAAACTGAATTGTCCCCCCCCCAAAAAAAAAAAAAAAACTTGGACAGAAATATTAAGTGCCCCAGTGTGTCTGCGAGAGCACACCATCCATCATGCTGCGTACTGCTCTCAAGTGATGAACGACAGCCTCCATACATGCGACAGGGCCGTGGACCTTGCGGAAAATGATGCGGAAATGCTCAATATATTCAGTTTTCCACTGCTCAGCTTTTTCACACTTGCAACCTGCAAACAAGTTTCCCCGTGCAAAATGTTGATATAATGCATAAAAAAATAAAAATTGCTCATTTTTGTGAATTTTTTTATTTTTTAGCTTCAATGTTCACTGCGTCAATATTTTAGCAAGGATATGAAAATGGGAAGACGCTCATCCTGAAAGGCTTTCTGTATTAAACTCTAGTGTGAAGATGATACGAATAGAGTTGTATGAACAATGTTGTGTACCAGGCAGAATTGTCAAATAATAAATTTATTTACCATATTTTTGCTGAGTTTTTTAATTAAAAACGCCCACACAAAAAAACTAAACATAGGTCAAACAAGATTTATTGGCAAGCATGTCCGTCAGTCTTCGTTCCTGCTCAAGGCATAACACAGCACGGAATACAGTACACATTACAAAAATAAAACTTGCACATAATGGGTCAGGTGTTTATGGGGCCATTAGATGGAAAGACGACTTAGTCGTTTAATTTCCTATAATAACTAGTAAATCCTACGGTGTATGCTCCTTCGGGTGCAACGCAAGTGGATTTGTTGACCTTTCAAGTTAAAAATGAGGTACAAAAACATAAGAGTGACATTGCCACATCCTGGTTCTTATTGCCCGTTTCAAGTCTTTCACTTGCCGAGGGCTTTATCCAGATTTTTCTTGATGGCGTCGAGGAAGTCTGTAGTATTCACATAGTGCTCATTCAGCTTCACACTGAAAATTAAGCAAAAGGGAAGGGAAAAAAAAAGAAAATCAACCAACAAGATCCAACATCTACATTAATTGTACAAAATCGTATTAAAATCTGCTTAAACCTGTGCATGGATGCATGTTTTCATAAACTAAAATGAAAAACTTACATGTAGACTAGCTACAATGCATATATATATACACAGACACACACCAAAGTCTATATAGAGACTTTGGTGCGTCTTTCAGTGCTGTACACGATGTGAGCTACGATGCTAGGGGGTTTAAATGTGTATGGTTGATATATATATATATATATATATATATATATATATATATGACTGATTAAACACAGATAGGAATTAATAAGTATTCACATCCTCCTACTCGTTTTCAAATAAGGACAGGTTGAGTGTAACCTTTGCTCTTATTAGTTTTCTAATATCATATAATCTCAGTTATGGATCTTTACTGATAAGATTTATGAAAGAACCACCCTAAGAAATTATTTAAGTCTTGATCGTTGATCAGTAAAGATTGGAAAGTGAAAGTCCAATATTATGGCTGATCAGTGAACATGTCATGCCTAAGCACTACCAGGTTTGGGTGAGAACGCTTCTTTGTAGATGTTGTTGGTGATCAGAAAGACTCATGGCTGGCCATTTTATCAGTGATGTATTTCAAAATAAAGTTAGCAGTACCACAAAATGAGGAGGAAGCGTCTAGAAAGAAAACTATTTTCTGTAGATGTATGTCGGATACTCGTGCAGAGTGCCACAAAAGGCATTTGGACCTCGGAAGAGAGCTGAGAACTTAATGTATTGCAGCGATTTTTCTCCATCTATCTTTTTGAAGAGTTTAAAACGGTTTACAAAGGAAGAGGCTGGATTAGAAAATGTTTACAGCCTCTTGAGAATCTCCCGTTCAATGCAACGCTACTTCTGCAAGGAATACAAACAGAGACTGACTTAGTAATGTGAACCACAAACTGCTAATATAAATGGCTAAAGGAAGTTTGAAATGTTAAGTTTATAATCATCTCGTCGGAAGTTTGAGATATAAATGAAAGTGTAAAAGGACAGAAATGTATTTGATCTAAAATAAGTTGGACACAGCTGTGGGTCAACTTGAAACCATTTTGTCAGGAAAAAAGGAATATAAAATACGGCAAGCCAACATGTTGAGATTTTATTTTTTTTTTTGTATGTTTTTGTGTCCAATAAATTACTATACCTCAGAGTATTTCACTGTAAATATTCAGTGCTGCCGACCGAAACAGCTCATTAAGTATGGGCTCCTGTGAAGAATTCATTGTTTTATTTTACCATAAAAAAAAGTATTAAGAGGTCAGCCATTAAATTATTCAAAGTAGGTTTTATAATTATTTTATTGTGTTTAGTTCTTCAAAATATGCGATTAGAAATCATCCACAAATATTTCTGACTGGTACATATCTGGTTTCTTTATTTTATTAATGATGATTTTATTCCCTACCTGTTTTTTTTTTTGTTGTTGTTTTTTTTAAGCTTATTAACATTTACTGCTTATACGTCCATTATCAGAAGCTTTCCAATTTTGTTGAACCCAAAATTTTTTATTCCACCACCGTTTTTTTGGTGGTGGAATAAAAAAAAGATCTCTTTAAGAGATCTCTGTCCTGTTTTCAAGTATAAATATAGAAGTTCAGTACGATTTTATGGCAGGTTCAGCAGTCAAATATGGAACATACAAAAACCACAGCCTGAACGAAGTGAAGAAGGGACAGACAGATGGGTCGACACGTGAATGGATGGATGGACAGTTGGATGATGGGCAGAAGGATAATGAACAGATGGATGGATGACTGGATGGGTAGATGAACAGATGGATCGAAGAATAGATGGATGGATTGTTGGGGGATGGATGGATCTTTAAAACAATGTAATAGGAAATAAAGCATGGAAATACAAATCCTTTTTTTCCCCCCATACGTGTCCAATACTAGAAAATACTGAACACTCTGGAGTCCCTTTCATTTTGTACTCCAACAGTATTTCTTTATGACAAAAAGATCTTCTAATGACTGCCATAAAAATATTAGATATCAACATACTGGAAAAAAAAAAATAAAACTTCAATCTTCACCTTACATGAATATTTGCTTTTTATAATTTATAACACACTGGCAGTCAGTTTTAGCAATCTCAGTCTTTTTTATTTAAATAATTATTATCTGGGCCTGAGAGCGTGAAAACATCTACCCAGCTTTTCCTTTGGTTCTTTCGGTGAATACATGACTCTACTTTCATGCCTTACACTTAAAACAATATACATAGAAAAACAATCTTTTAAAGATTGCCACAAAAAACTTTCCATAAAAGTCCTCATTTCACTCATTTTATGAAAAGAACACATCACCACATAGCTGGGAACAGGATCATGATTTGGGTGGACGGAGCTTTCAGTGACTTTCCACTGGTAGAGGAGTGTCTCACAAAATAATACACTGAAATCAAGACAACTGAGATTTAACCTAATTAGACGAAGGATCAAAAATCCTCAAAGCCAAAATTGATGCCACATCAATTTGTGGCCGGTGCCACAAACCTTTACATAACCTTGTCATAAAGCAAAATATAACTGTGCTTATTGTTTTATCTTCACTTTTTTTTCCCATTTCTGTTTAGCTACAGACCAGGAATGAGCTGGTTAGCAGTAAAGAAAAGTCTGTGCCTACTACAGATGTCTGTGCAGAGCAAGCAGAAACTTTGTATCCACAAATGTTAAACTATTGCCTTTTAATTCTTCAAAGTGACTCTGGAATATAATAACCGCAAACAAAACTTTACATTTCTCCTCACGTTTTCAGAAACCTCTGGGAGTAAAATTTCCAAACATGAATAATTACTAATCACAAAAAATTGAGGATAATCAGCTTCCGGGAGAAATTTCAAGATGAACCTGCAACTTATTAAGTTTACAGGTGAACCTAATATGACCTTCTCTAAATTTTTTAATTGACATATCCAACTCATTGATGTTTCAGTACTTTTTGCATAACTTGCTGTTCTCTAACAAGGAGTTTGACAACTAAATTCACAACAGGTGTTTGATCCATGAAATCGATCAATAGATGGACCTTGAGGCTGAATAACTCCAGGAAAGAGGCGAGTTTATAACAACTCCAGTGTCAAAAAGATCATCGCTGTTCATGCTGCGTCTACTAGATTAATCTTAACCCTGCCTTACTTTTCTGAGAAGTTACTGATAAATGTTTCAATTTCAGGATGCAGGTTGTTTCCTGAGTAAATAACCATCAGCTTCTCTGTAAATTCCTAAGCTATGCAAAACCAACGACTGTTAAAAGATTCATAAAATAGTTTTTACATGAACAGCAAGAACAAGAAAACCAAAAAAAAAAAAAAGTACAGGTTAAGAGTTTAGAGACATGAGTTGGTCCCGTTTTCCCCCCACAGCAAAATTGGATATAAATGTTAATTAAACTTACTTGGAGAGGCCGTGGATGCAGCCCGCGAGGTCCTTGGTCATGATGCCGCTCTCAACAGTC